CTCTAATGACCATATCTGCTATGATTACTAGAATAAGTAGATTTAATTGCAACAAGGGGCCAGTAGTATTACGTTTCCTGCTAAAACCTTTTAACCATACACTATAGTTTAGTTTACAGTTATTGGATAAAAAGATTCTAGGCAATCAAATTTCACCACAACTTGTATATTTACAGAATTAGATATTCCTCCACTAAATATTTTGTTAACAGCAACACACATAAACCGCAAAATTAATTTGAATGATGATCTTAATTTTTAAATAAATTATGGTGAGAATGTTTCATCTGATTACTTGTCTTATGCAGGAGCTATATTATATAATAATAATCCAGTTGCAGCAATCAAATTTGATTATTTCCAAATTAGATTCAGAATTTGGAACTATTTTTAAAAAATAAATCCCTCAAAGCCAACACTTTAAATAAGATTTTCTGTTTATAATCCATTATATGTTATGCCAAGCTTATCTACAATTAGCATTTAAATTAATATTCCGCCTCAGAATTGCTTTTTAAATATAAATCCCTTATAAGGAATAGCACTTGAAACTATCTTTTAGATTTAATTATTGAGTTGTACAGATGAAGATCTTCCTCTAACTTACTAGTTCTTCTATTACAATAGTGCAGATGATGCCATTCAAGAATTAATTTCACCTTGGAATATTTTAAGAAGATAGATATAAGATTAGACTATAAACAACTCAATTTAAACAGTCCTACCTTAAGGAAATCTAGTTTTTATGGTACAGGTTATGGATTCTTACCTCGGAGTTTATAATACCTCTTCTACAATATAGGTTCAAGCTTAGAGTAAATCATCTGACGAATATTATAAACTGGTAAATCAACAGACTTTGTAAGTTTTATAGAGCTCAAATATATAAATCACTAACTAACTTGTGACTTTAAGCATTATAGCAGAAGACATCAGTAAAAACAATTAATTTTCATAGCAAATTAATGATTTAGAAACTCTACTGATTTAAAATATATAGCAATTGTCTTTCTAAATACCTAAATTCTCCCTTTTGTCTACATTTGCAAATAAAGTAACTGCTTAACTATCATAACTAGTCTTTAGCTAATCTTAATAAAACAGTGTTACAACATAGAAAAATAAAATATTTGATTAACTTTAAGCAATACTCCAAAATACTAATTCAACCATACAAAATAGTAATCTTAGCCACTTACAATAAAATAATGACATTTAAATTTAAAATATGGTAGACTCTTTTAAAATTTTAAACTCAAGCGTTAGTTTGAATAGTAATAACTCATACGAAGATTTTTAGTCATACGATAAAATATCAAGTTAGATTGGAAATCTGCTTAATAATATTAGCTTACCAAACTAAGGACAAATTATTCTAAATGGTGATTTGTCCACTCTTTTGTCAGATAAAGTAACATAGAAAAACTTATTCAAATATGTTATAAATACAGGTTATTAAAATTCCGAAAATTAAACTAGCATATTTAGTATTTCAAGAAATAATTATAAGTAAAATATTTATGAAAATACTTCAGATTTTTAGGCATACACATAGCAATTCAAAAATATTAGTTAAAACTTTACCTACTCTAAGAATGAAGTAATATCACCATAGATTTATAATTCATCTTCTTAAACAATCTCAAATCAGTCTACTATTATTTACTAGTTTAATAATACAAATTCTAGTAAGTTATATAAAATGACATGCCTTTAAAAAAATAATCTTTCTTGGAGTTAATAAAATTGTGGTATAACAAAAATTACTTAAAATCGCTACTTGTGCTGCTGTGCCTCCTAAAAACCAACAACCATCATTGAAGATATTGATGACATGTTCTCAAAAAATAAAAATTTGTAGACAGCATTTGGAGAATAAGGGCTATTAAATATAGCAAGCTTTGAGAACTTTTATATGTATATAATATTTTGGCTCTTGATAATATTCACACTGACTGAAATTTAATTATTTATTATTGGAAGATTCTTAGACAAATAAGCAGTAAAAAAAAGATACTAAAAAGTTCATAATCTAGAACTAAATAATTAATTGTAAAATGAATAGTTATAAGAGTAGAGATAACAATAATAATAAATTGATGATGATAATAACTAAAATATTTGTGAAAATTCTTAAATGATAAATGAAGATATATTCCAGCACTCTCCTTTTACTCATCAATTTAAGAGTAATGAAAATGTATAACCAAAAATTTAATAAAATCAATAGATTTTATCACCTTCTGATTAAAAAATAGATAACTAATTTAATAGAAGAAGAAAAAGATAAAAATTCCTCAATTTATAAACATAACAAATCAAAAGAAACTTAAAAATATTTTAAGGACAAAATATTTAAATGAACGAAGAGAAGGCTGAATCTAACTAATTGCAAATAATTAAATCATAATCAAGCTCTAAAAGTGTAGAAAAAATCAAAACTCAAACAAGCTCATAAACCTAGATAAAATAGGTTTAAGATGAAGAAGAAATCTAAAAAATCAATGTTTATTTGTAACTTTCTAAAGCGAAAAAGGTAGCAATTTTTCATTAATTTTTTAGTATTTTTTACATTTTTGATGATATCCTTTAAAGACCATTAAGATTCACTCTGCTTTACTTAAAAACAATACACACCTTAGTTATTTCAATATTATTCTAAGGTTATAATATGCTAATTTAGCAGGTAATAATAGCCATAATAAATAGCTCATTAATGAAGATTGCTTTTTTAGGAATTATATTTATAGCAAGATTCCATTCAAAAATTCCGTCGTTTGGAATTAATTTATAATGAAATAGATTTTTTAATTATTTATTAAAAAATCAGATTTTGATATTTTATAATAGAATTAAAATTAATATTTTAATTTATTATAATTTCAAAAATACATAATTTTTTTACATCAAAAATTTTAAATTTAGCTAAATTTCCTGAAGCGGGGTAAACAAAATACAGGATTTTGGGGCAATTTCTGTAGCGATTAAGAATAGAATCTTAAGTAGGTCTAAAAAGTTAAAGATTTCAAAATTTAGTGCTCCCTCAACGACCAAGTTGGTTAAGCTTATCAAATAATAGGGTAGTATTTGTTTATTCGAATGTAAACATCACTTTAGATGAAATAATAGATTGGATCTTGAATTTAGAACCAAACAGAAATATTAATTAATTAGTTTTCACCTAATAAATAATTAGATAATTATAATTGTCTAAATGATGGATATTGATTCTCTCTATTTATTTATTAAATATATAATTCTTGAATGAGTCTAAGTTCTATTTGATTTTATTATAATTAATTTCAGGCATTAAAGTTAGAAAAACATTATCAATAATTTACAATTCATCCTCTTGTATGTATAAAAATAACTAAAACCATTTAACTCCATTTTTAAATCTTCAACCTATCATGAAAGTAACGCATATTTAGAGAGTGTTATTATTAAGAGTGAGATGAAAATAAATCTTAAAATGTAGTTTTTTTTGATCTCTATTAATTTGATGAATTAGATTAATTGCTTTTATTATGAAGCTAAAATTTTAGGCATTATGTATGTTAAAAAATAAGTTGTTTTATTTAAAGATAGATAGCATTTCTTTTTATTTCAGTTTTTAAATAGATTTATGAAATTTTTAACTATCTCCTATTGCTATTAGATATTTATATGTTTGCTTTATTTATTTGCCTCCATTTTTATTAATCATTCATTAGATTTTATGTCAAATAGTATCAGTAAAATTACAAATACAAAGTAAAGTAAATGATATATTTTAGTAATTAATTAGAATAGATTATTAAATTAAAGTGTAAAAAATAAATAAGATATATTCTAAAAGTTGAAGGAAAATATTTAAATGAATGTATTCATTAGTTTTGTAATAGCTCCTGCTTTACTTTTCAAAGATTAAAAGCAGGATCAAAAATAATCAAATCAATTGATTACTATCTAAAATAATCTAATTCTTCTAAGTAATAATAGAATACTTCTCCAAAATTAATTTATTATTAATAGAAAAACTAGAAACAAATTTTCTGACATTTATATAGCTAAAAATTACATAGGACCAAAGTTTAATTGCTAGTTTATAAAATTATTTTAACAAAAAAAAAAATATTTAAAAAATAGATGGAATTTATTTATTTATTATGTAATAGCTACTGCTTTATTTTTCAAAAATAAAGGACTGATCAGATTTTAAGAAATAATCAGATCAATCGATTAATATCTGTAAGCATCAAATTCTTTTTTAATAATAATAGATAGAATGCTTCACAAAAATTATTTATTCAAGAAATAAGAGAAACTATGAATTATAAGGTGCTGCTACTAATTAATATATAAAGAACTTTAATTTATTTGCTGGTTTATAATAACTTTTAGATTTTTCAAAAGGTTTAAAAAATAAATTGTTTTTTTAATGATTATCAGAGTGCTAATTTATATATGAAAATAAATGAAATTAAAAAAAACTATTTCAAGCATTAATTTAAATTACAACTAAAAGAAGGTTTTGTCAGTATTTACTCGTTTGAAAGTATGCTGAAATTCTTAACTTTAATTAAAATAATATGTAATTAAAGAAAATAATGACTGGTTTAAAGTCATTTACAACAAAATAATGACATTTAAATTTAAAATATGGTAGGCTCCTTTAAAATTTTAAACTCAAGCGTTAGTTTGTAAAGTAATAACTCATACGAAGATTTTTAGTCATACGATAAAATATCAAGTTAGATTGGAAATCTGCTTAATAATATTAGTTTACCAAACTAAGGATAAATTATTCTAAATGGTGACTTATCCTCTCTTTTGTCAGATAAAATAACATAGAAAAATCTATTCAAATATGTTGTAAGTACTGTTGATTAAAATTCTGAAAATTAAACAAGCATATTTAGTATTTCAAGAAATAATTATAAGTAAAGTATTTATGAAAATACTTCAGATTTTTAGGCATACACATAGCAATTCAAAAATATAAGTTAAAACTTTACTTATTCTAAAAATGAAATAATTTCGCCATAGATTTATAATTCATCTTCTTACACAATCTTAAATCAGTCTACTATTATTTACTAGTTTAATAATACAAATTCTAGTAAGTTATATAATATGACATGCCTTTAACAAAATAATCTTTAGTGGAGCAAATAAAATTGTGGTATCAATAAAATTACTTAAAATATCTATGTGTGCTACTGTGCCTCCTAAAAACCAACAACCATCATTGAAGATATTGATGATATGCTCTTAAAAAATAAAAATTTGTAGACAGCATTTGGAGAATAAGGGCTATTAAATATAGCAAGTTTTGAGAACTTTTATATGTATATAATATTTTGGCTATTAATAATATTCACACTGATTGAAATTTAATTATTTATCATTGGAAGATTCTTAGACAAATAAGCAGTAAAAAAAAGATACTAAAAAGTTCATAATCAAGAAATAAATAATAATAGTAAAATGAATACTTATAAGGGTTGAGATAACAAAAATAATAAATTGATGATAATAACTAAAATATTTGTGAAAATTCTTAAATGATAAATGAAGATATATTCCAGCACTCTCCTTTTACTCATCAATTTAAGAGTAAAGAAAATGTCTAACCAGAAATTTAGTAAAATCAATAGATTTAATCACCTTCTGATTAAAAAATAGATAAGTAATTGTATAGAAGAAGAAAAAGATAAAAATTCCTCAATTTATAAACATAACAAATCCAAAGAAACTTAAAAATATTTTAAGGACAAAATATTTAAATGAATGAAGAGAAGGCTGAATCTAACTAATTGCAAATAATTAAATCATAATCAAGCTCTAAAAGTGTAGAAAAAATCAAAACTCAAACAAGCTCATAAACCTAGATAAAATAGGTTTAAGATGAAGAAGAAATCTAAAAAATCAGTGTTTATCTGTAACTTTCTAGAGCAAAAAAGGTAGCAATTTTTCATAAATTTTTTAGTATTTTTTATATTTTAGATGATATCCTTTAAAGGCCATTAAGATTCACTCTGCTTTACTTAAAAACAATACACACCTTAGTTATTTCAATATTATTCTAAGGTTATAATATGCTAATTTAGCAGGTAATAATAGCCATAATAAACAGCTCATTAATGAAGATTGCTTTTTTAGGAATTATATTTACATTCAAAAAGGGTTCAATAGGTAAAACAGTTTCTCTAATTTTGCAAATAGTTATAAGCTTAGTTTACTACTAAGTCATTTCGGCAGTATCTAGTGGTAAAACTCCAAGTGAGTCGAATTAATTTATAATCCTATTTATAATATCTTTTCTAACTGAAATGGTATTCATAGAGTTAACAAAGTCATTTTGTATGATCTTGTTGATTCAAAAATATATTAAATGCAATGAATCGAAAAGTATTTTTGGTAAACTGAATAATTTATTTGATTTAAAATAAATAATACTTAATATTGATGTTTGAGCCAACTTTATATTTTTTATATTTTTTGTTTTTCACTTAAAGAATATCACCTTTTAAAATCTCTTTTTATAAATTATATTAATTTTTTAGAATTTAGTTTATTTTCAAAGTTTAATTTAAAATAATTTCTGTTAAATATCATCAGTTTCAGTTTGATATTTGTAATTAGAAATCAAAAAAAATTTCTACAAAAATTTAAGAAAACTTTTTATTTTTTGTAGATACAAATCTTTCTTTCATCATATATATTTATCCTTAATATACTTAATAAAAGAGGATTTAGATTATATTGATATATATTTCAAATAATTATCTTCATTGTATTTTAAAAAGTTTATAAATATATTAATAATGAATAGATTGTATCAAAATCAATTAAAATAGAGTGTATCAAAGGAGTTAAAAAATTTCTAATTAATTTTTGTAACCTTATTTACTGTCATCTTTTATTAAGTCTTCATAAGATTTTAATTAATTAAATCATCCTATTTATTTTTTGACTGTGTAATTTTAAAAATAATTTTCTTTTATTTTTGATAAAATAATAAAATAAATATAAATAGATATTTAGCTTCAAAATAAATATTCTTAATAATTTTAAATTAAAATATTTTGTATTTTTAATTTTAGTTTTAATCATAATAAGTAATATAAAGTAATGGAAGAGAAGAAAAAGAAGCCAATAATTTATTTGCCAGTTATGTAATAGCTACCTACTTCTTGAATTAATAAATAACAGGATATTTTGTTCAAAGAAAAAGCAAAAAAAATCCCAAACATTCTGATAACTAAATATTATTTAATATCATTTAGCCACTACCAAATAAACAAATAGTGAGTTAATAAAATATATGAATGGTTGAATTAATTAATTTTATCCATAAGAAATTAATTATTAGATATTAATTTATTATAATTATAATAAACATCTACATTTGCCAACAGATTTAAAATTCAAAAAAGTCTTTTATTTTACCTTTGTTTATAAGATAATAAAATTTTGCATAGAAAACAATAAAAATGTCTAAATATTATTTAAATTTTATCTAACAAGTTAATAATTAGATTATTTATATATTACCATATTATTTATTTCCTCGCCTTCGTTTTAAGGTGAAAAAACTAAGATTTTGACCTTTTTAAAGATTTTAAAATTTAGTGCTCCCTTAACAACCCAGTTGGTTAAGCTTATCAAATAATAGGGTAGTATTTGTTTATTCGAATGTAAACATCACTTTAGATGAAATTATAGATTGGATCTTAAATTTAGAACCAAACACAAATATTAATTAATTAGTTTTCACCTAATAAATAATTAGATAATTACAATTATCTAAATGATGGATATTGATTCTCTCTATTTATTTATTTAATATATAATTCTTGATTGAGTCTAAGGTCATATTTGATTTTATTTTAATTGATTTCAGGCATTAAAGTTAGAAAAACATTATCAATAATTTACAATGTATCCTCTCATATGTATAAAAATAACTAAAACCATTTAATTCCATTTTATCTTCAACCTATCATGAAATTAATGCATACTTAGAGAGTGTTATTTATTAAGAGTGAGATGAAAATAAATCTTAAAATGTAATTTTTAATCTCTATTAATTTGATGAATTAGATTAAGTGTTTTTATTATGAAGCTAAAATTTTAGTAATTATGTATGTTAAAAAATAAGTTGTTTTATTTAAAGATAGATAGCATTTCTTTTTATTTCAGTTTTTAAATAGATTTATGAAATTTTTAACAATCTCTTATTGCTATTAGATAGTTACATGTTTGCTTTATTTATTTACCTCCATTTTTATTAATTGTTCATTAGATTTTATATCAAATAATATCAGTAAAATTACAAATACAAAGAATAAATGATACATTTTAGTAATTAATAATAATAGATTATTATTAAATAAAGCGTAAAAAATAAATAAGATATATTCTTGAAGGAAAATATTCAAATGAATGTATTTATTAGTTTTGTAAAAGCTCCTGCTTTACTTTTCAAAGATTAAAAGCAAGGATTGAGTTTTCAAAAATAATCAGATTAATTGATTACTATTTAAAATCATCAAATTCTTCTTAGTAATAATAGAATACTTCACCAAAATTAATTTATTATTAATAGAAAAATTAGAAATAAATTTTCTGACATTTATATAGCTAAAAATTACTTAAGACCAACGTTTAATTACTAGTTTATAAAATTATTTTAACTATAAAAAAATATTTAAAATATAGATGGAATTTATTTATTTATTTTTAATGTAATAGCTACTGCTTTATTTTAAAAAAATAAAGGCCAGATCAAGTTTTAAGAAATAATCAGATCAATTTATTAATATCTGTAAGCATCAAATTCTTTTTTAATAATAATAGATAGAATGCTTCACAAAAATTATTTATTCAAGAAATAAGTGAAACAATAAATAAGAGATGCTGCTACTAATTAATATAGAAGAACTTTAATTTATTTACAGATTTACAATTACTTTTAGATTTTTTAAAAGGTTTAAAAAATAAATTGTTTTTTTAATGATTATTAGAGAGCTAATTTATATATTTATATATGAAAATAAATGCAATTAAAGTATACTATTTCAAGTATTAATTTAAATTACAAGTAAAAGAAGGTTTTGTCAGTACTTACTAGTTTAAAAGCATGCTGAAATTCTTAATTAATATATAATTAAAGAAAATAATGGCTGGTTTAAAGCTCGCATGTTGACAGAAGGTTTATAATAATTTAAAGCAACTTTTAAATTTCCAACCCTTTTAATATGTTAAGAATTTAATAAAATGGTTATGTTTAAGATTTTTGTGTCTAAAAACTGTTTTAGAAGGGTTTATTTAGTTAAAATTAAAATCGAATGTAAGATAAATTCAAATGGCATTAAATTATTTTTTATTTACTTGGTAACTAATATTAGAATAGCTTACGTATAAAAGGCTAAAGAGATAAATTTACCTTATAATATTTAATTAATCACAAAAAATTATTAATCTAAATATCCTTAAAATAAATTGGATTGATTAACAATGAACACTCAGAAAATTAGAACATTTCTCTTGGTTATTTTACAAAGTCAAATTTTTGATTAATAAATTATATATAAAAGAATTTATTTATTTTAATAAATAAACAGTCTTAAAATACTTATATGCTGATCCTTTAGACCCTTGCTAATCAGGAAACGTGGATTATGGTGGTTTAAATACTCAATGTAAACTTCTTTTGAATTATTGTTTTATTTTTAAATCGTTTTATTTTGATTTAAGTTAGTTAATGCTTAATTAATTATCATTTACCGGCAAGCTAAAATGATATAGACTTTATGAAAAATTATTTCTCAGACATGAATTGCTTTAATTTTTTTCTTTTTCAACCCAACGATCTGTAATCCTTATCAGGAAATAGTTGTACTTCAAATAATGATATAATAATAAAATATACTCCATAAAACCAGTAAAAAAAAAATTAACAAAACAAAAGTTATGATAACAATATTTTTTTCTTTTCTTAATCAAAAATTAACTTTAAATTAATTTATTTTTAAAATAATAAATATAATTCACAATATTTTTAATATTTTAATTTGTTATTCTTTTCTTTTTTTCAAAATATTTTATAAATAAATTAGGAATACAATCATAAATTCCATTAATTTTTCGTTTACTATTAGTATCAATATGCCTTCTAATTTAGATTTATAATCGAGAGTTGAAATAAATAGTGTCCCTTATTAAAGCGAAAATGGATATTAAATTTATTATTATTGGAATAATTATTCATATAATTATTTTAAAGTCCTTAGGTAATAATTAAATGCAAATAGTTTAACAATTAAGATAACACCATTTAATAATAATAATATTCAGAAATAATATCAAATTTATCTTAGCTATATGACTCTAAATGTATAATTGGTAAATTTAATTATTAAATTTGATAATAGAGAGAGGAATATTAATTATATTCTTGATTAATTTCAATTTAAAAATTATTTAATTGAAATTAAGGCTAGAACTAATAGAAATTTATAGTAAAAGACCAAATAAATTTTTGATAATTGTTTTTGCTAAATTCAAGTTTTTAGATTTATAAAAATATATTGAGGAATTTTAGCTAAAATTTTTTAAATCTAATTCCGTTAAGATCATTAAAAAGTTTGTTTTTTGGTGATTATTAAAATTTTTTATTAAAATTCGAGTACAAATTCCTTTGTTACCTTTGAAGTTTCTCTCGAATCTTCTAAGTAATTACTTACCTTCTTCATTCATAAGTAAATGAAATATTAATAAATTTGTAACAAAAGTTTCCATCACTTTTTCAAAACTAAATAACTAACAAGCTAAATAATATTTTATCTAATTTTTTTTTACACTTAACATTTGTTTAAATTTTTTTAAATTAAATATTAATTTGTATATCCTATCCAAAAATAAACACATATTTTACTATAGAAAGTATTAAGAATTTTTTACATTAATTTTTAAAAATGTTCAAATAAAAAATTTTTTCTTCAGTTTGTTTTTTTTATTGTATTTGCTTTTTAAAATTAAATTTTAAATGTAATTTTTCTATTATTTTATTACTTAATTACAACTAAAAGTTAATCTAGTTATTGATTGGCTAAATATTTTAATAAAATTTTAAATCTAAT